TATATCAATATTCAAAGTTAGGGAGGAAGAGCATTAGACCCAGAGATCCCAAAACACAAGGGCTTGAAGGAAGGCTCCCAATAGATCCTAATTAATTGGGTTCCATTTAAAAAAACAAAAACAAAAACAAAACAAAACAACAACAAAAAAACTCTGTTCTTCCAATGCGGAAGACTGATTTGGAAAAATATAGAGGCAGTATAGATAATGTTTCTATAATAAATCATTTTTGTTTCTCAAAGACAGATCTTTATCCTTACTCTGAAACAGCCTAAAAATGGGGGGAAGGGAGAAATTAGGTACAAAGAAAAGAATACTGCATTTTTGCTACTAATTCCCTGCATATACTTCCTTTGGTTCCTTTTCCTTTTTTCTTTCTTTCTTTCTTTTGGTACAGAGCCATAACACTTAGCTTTTATACTGTGTAAATAAATAAAAGCAAACTTAAAAATTTTTCCTAACAAGTAAAAACTAAGATATGTTTTAAACGCAAACCTCAGTATTACACAATTCAAAACAGCGAGTTTTTACATCAGGTCCACCTGAGGTTACATTAGGGTGTACCCTCAGGAAATCCAACCAAGACAGACTGCCAATCCAAGCTACAGAAGACAACCAGGAGCCCCCCAAACAAGTTACTTTCTAAAAGAGCACTGGAGAGCAAGATTATCTGATGTTACTCCACCCTCAGAACCACCTTCTTCTCCTTCTGTAACCCTGCTTTTGTCACTGAAGCCTGGGTCAGTATTGGGCATGGTGGGCATCCTGAGATAATGGCATTACAGAGAAATAGCAGTTAGGTAATCCAACTAGCCTGCAAGGTAATATCACAGTTGTGTGTCCCAATCCTGATAACTTCTCCCTTCTGCCAAGTGACCTAAAAGGCCGGCTGATTTCTTTAAGCTTCCATTTCCACATGTGAAAAGTGGAAATCATACTATACTTCTGCTGCTAAAAATGGAAACTAGCTAAGAAAAAAAAAATAAATAAATAATTGCAAAGCACTCTGAAAAGGATATACTGGATTCTGTAACCTGATTATTGGTCAGAGTAAAACTAGAATTACTAGAATGACCACTTCTTCCAATTCCATACATGCCATCTGGCCATCAAACCGATAAATAATATTGACTGCGAACTTGATCCATGTAAAGATTTTAAAGTCACAGAAACGAAGTTTGTGCCAGGCTGTATTTTCCTACCATTTAACTAAATCCAAATAAAATGTAGTCACTGGCATTATAATAGTAGATGATAAGAATATAATTAACTACATTTTCTTGAACCTGAAAACTGTTTTTTTTTTTCAATATAGTCAGCAGCAGGTATAGACCAGTTTGAAGCCAACACTGAAGCGACTTTGCAAGAACTGGAAAGGCACTAACCCAGAAACAGAAGGAATCATCGCGAAGCAAGACTCATCTGAGAGGCCGAAATACAATATGGATTATTTTTATATTGTTCTGTCTGAGTTGTCTCTGTCTCAGATTCTTAACTTCCAGAAGCTATTTTTAAAATAACTTAACACCGTGTGTTTCCAGTAGCCATCAAGGCACATACTGTCATCCCTGACACCGGAGGTTGTCAGCAGGTTCGACATGTACACTAATGATCTCGGGCAACAGCGCTCATCTTCCTATCAAAGGGGTCCTTATTCCGGGAGAAAAAGCCTAAAGTTCTTCAAGAAAATTCATCCTGCAACGTAGGACGCAGTCATTATACAATGTTAAGATCCACTAATACTTCTGACTTCTTTTTAAGATTATCTTATTTGCTGAGTTTGAAAACCCAAAACTGTCAGGCCTGGTAACACTTTTTTGGTTCTCTCCCAAGTCGCTGATGCTCTCTTCCAGCCCTGTCAAATAATGATAGCTGCTGTCATTATTTATGATACAATAGCTGGCAGCAGGTTGCACATACATTCTTCATCTCAAATAGCAAAAACAAATGATGACGACCTTACAGCCAAACTGACCGCTTTCCTAAAGCCGAAATAAGATGGCTAGCCCATCGGATCAATACTTCACTGCCAGCACATAAGTTATTTTATTAAAATCAAAGGTTTTAATTCTTTTATTATTTTTTTCTAAACTGTTTTAAAATAACTTTTTCTCTTACACGTATACTCCTGGTCCTCTCCTGTTTGCTACTGGAGGCTGTCTATCTGAAAGATTTCCACATTTACTTTTGGCTTTAATACTATCAATCAAAACTGCAATTCTGTTTTCAGGAAGTACCGTGTTTTTCGGACCATAAGACGCACTTTTTTTCCCCCAGAAGTGGGGGGAAAAAGTCCCTGCGTCTTATGGTCCAAATATAGCCTACACATATACTTTAAAAAAAAAGTTTTTTTACTTGCCTGGCTCTGTGTGGTCTCTGTGTGCTTGCCTGGCTCTAAAATGGTTCTAAATGCTGCTGTTTACTTTACAGGGTTGATTACATGTGTTTATGACTGTGATGTTGGGTTTTAATGCACATAAAATATTTTAGGACACTATTTGTTTCAGAATCTTTTTTTCTTCATTTCCCTTCTCTAAAAACTGGTGCGTCTTATGGTCCGGAGCGTCTTATGGTCCGAAAAATACGGTATATATGAAGATATTTAAAAAATGCTGAAAATAAGTTCTTTTCACTTAATGAAGGCAAGAATGTGTGTAAAGGTATTTACGAAAACCAGTGATCTCAGACACACACACACACACACACACACACACAAATTATTTCAAGTTATAGAAAAATATGAGTGACAGATTCTAAGTCTCCTGTTCAAATTAGACAAGAGTCTCTCTCTACCACTCTTTGCTTTGGCAATCTGAAAGGCTGATATTCTCCTAGATCTAAGAGAAAGGAAAAAATGGGTATCTTCTCCATCTAACACCTAAGTGGGTAACCTAGATACTGTAAATAGAGGCTACATAAAGGATGCAAGACAGCTCTGAAGTGAGAGCCAACATATTTAACCTGCAAGGCTTTGGAAAGGGACTTGAAAACACGTACAGCTTCGGCCAAAAAACCATACTAACGTGAAATTGCCACAGGCTAGTAAGGTAAAAACAACAACAACAAAAAAACCTTCTTTACCAAACATAATTTAACTGTTAATGGGTGTAAAAAGCCCAAATGTCAAAAGCACTATGCTTATTTGTTCAAATGGATCATGTCTGCATTCTGCACTATATATTTAAAATAAATGGGTGAGCTACCTGTTTGAAGCCAGTACTTGCTAAACCAGAATCAAATTCACAAATAAAGGAAGCAATTAACAATAAAAACCAAACAAACAAAAAAGCATTTTCCTGCTGATGTGATAGTGGTGGCTAGGGGATATCAGTAAAGTCTGTGATTAACATTAATATGTACCCCCTTATATTAAATGCTTCTAAGGCCAACTGTTAAGTAGCTGGCTAACAGAAATTGCAAATTCATCTGTTTTTAGCCTTCAGGAAATCATACAAAGATCATCTGAGAAGTAAAAACCTATTCTACCAAGGAACTAGTAAAAATGTTAAAATGTAAAAACTGTAGTGCCTACATTATATTAATAGTGTAACTTTTATCAAATCAATAGCCAACTAGCAAAAAAATAAAATAAGTTAATGCTACAAGATCCATTATAAGACATTAGCACTATAATTTAATATACATTCACTCACTACCTATTAATTTTTCTTTCTACATGATAAAGGAATTTCAATGACTGCTTCTAGAATGAAATCTTCCCATTAATAAGAAGAAAGAAAACTATTAAAAAAGTAAGTTCACATAGTTTAATAAAAAAAAATTCAAGTCAATAGCTAGAATCACTTAAAGTTAATGAGTTGCAAAATGTATTCAATAGTACTGTATATACTTTTGCTTATAATTCAGTAGTCTTTACTACTTACAAAGCTAGTAGGTTTATAGTAACCTAAAGTTTTGAGAACTGAAAGAGGGAATTGGAAAGGAAATTTTGTTCTGTTCAGATAATGAGAATTAACTTAGGGATAGGCTCATAATTCAGTAGGTGATTCAGTTTTCTTTAGTTATTAAATCTTCACTTTTTTAAAAAGGAAAGAAAATGTCTTCCCTTCACATATCAACCAGATAGAAAAAGTCTAATTAAATCAAGTTAAATATAAGTCAGACATCATTTCTACACGAGAATATAACATATACCAACACTATAAGGGAAACACACATTTTCAAAAAACATTTGAGTAGAAATCATAGAGCATTTGCACTTGATAACTAAACTGGTAAAACATTATAAGAGAAAGCAAAGTGCTTTGTCTCTGTCCATGATAGCATATAAGTTGTTCTTTCCTTACACAAAAGTGTTTCCTACATCAGTGAATGACTCTTCATCAAAAACAGTAGCCAAAACTGTCTATGCCTATCAGTTCAAAACATCCTCCCAAGTTTACTCAGTGCTTCTCTGGACAATCCTAAACAAGAAGCTCTCACTTTGTCAGAGAGATGGATGCAAATGAGTTCTACAAATTTCCAATTACACTTCACTTCCAACACTCTGGAGGAAAAACTTTCACGTTTAAAAATATAAAGTTAAATAAAATAAAAAAGCAACACTGCAATTCTACCACTGATGGATTAGCTTTGTACCAGAGCAATATAAAACTATTTCATTTTTTTACTGTAAAGAGTCCTTTGGAAGTGACGTGTTTCCATCATTAAAAAAAAAAAAAAGTCCAACAACAACAACAACAACAACAACAAATCTAGTCATAAACCTGACAAGTCAAAACAACAACCAGAAAAGCCTACCATTTCTTACCTGATACAGGTAAGCACCAGCTCCCAAATGCCACGTTGGGATAGTTCAGGCTAGTAAGCAGACTCATGTTTTATGATACTAGCATGAACAGGAATAAATCTCTGCTGTTGTTTCTTTAGCAAAATCTATAACGGCAGCCACACCACTGTGTGAGAGGACCCCACAGACCTCACAAATCCAAGGCTGTTGCTAGAGAAATAGGGGGGAAAAACATAAAAAGAAGACTTACTGCTTGTCATGTGACCCGGGGAGGCATGCTGTCCATTGGGTGTGCTTGAGGTGAGGTCAATGGCCATGTTGGAGTGCTCCCTCTCAGGCGAAAGCTCATTGTCACCTGCTTTCACAAAAGAGAATCTTTTGGTCTCTGTTCATGGTCACAGAAAATCTCATTACCAACTTTGCCTCATGCAGTGGCACCAATAGCCTTGAAATTGTACTGTAATATGTTTCTCCTTAAAACAAACTGCGAGGCAACATAATTTAGAAAATATATAGTCAATGAATGAGATGACAAAAAGCAAAACCAGCCCACAAAAAACTCACTATCACAACAATCGCAACTGTAAAGTAAGAGGAATTGGGGATGAGTTGATTTCTATCTGAAGTATTCTTTAGTTTAAAAACGTAAATTTCTTTTAAAAACCTAATTTAATCCTTGAGCATACAGTATTCATAATGAGCATTTTCTAAAGTGCTGGCTCTTGCAAAGTGGGATGCTTGAAAGAAGAGTTGGCTAAACACATGTCTACTTGCTTGTTTTCAGCCAAATAAGTTGAGAATTCAGAAGTGAATTCTCTTTCAGAACACGAGTCCAATAACGTAAGCTATACAGAGCAATCCATAGTTAGTGCACGCCACATCAGTAGACATATACGTAGCCTGGCCTATTATAAACTTAGGTATAAAGTTATCAGCCAGGAAAGTGTGGGTCGGCTATGCTTGGCTGGTTCACATGTTAACTTTAATACAGCAAGAATATTTCTATTCCACTGTTTGCTGTTATTCCAACAAACTCACTTTAAGGGTGAAGCTGTGAACAGACGGAAGAGAAGAGCGTAGGATCCATGGGAAAGGCTTACAATGGAGAAGCTGGAGTGCAGGAGCAGAACTCTGCCAGCAACAGAGAGAAGCAAGGGGAACGGATACTCACACGTTATATAGCCATCCACAGCCTCTGTGTCCATAGTCAGCGTGCAGTGCTGCAACACAGAAGACAGACCCTTAGCACAGCGTTCCTGTCCGCGCTGCCCTCCGACGCTCTGCTCCTCTGAAGCCCCAGGCAGCCAGTCAGCCCATGGTGCTGCTGCTGCTGCTGCTGCAGCCTGTGCCCAGGAAACATGCTACAGTGGACTGTATGTGCTCATTTGCAAGTCACTGAACTCTTTCTGCAAATGATCTGATTCCTGCTGGAGATAGGGCAGGGAAGATACTGCACTGTGAGATGGGCTGCAGCAAGAAAGGAAGGGCTCTCTTCATCAGAAGGCACTTGGTTCAGAGGAGACAACAACAACACAACAACAACAACAACAACAATCCAGGGGGCCATCTCCCACGTGACATGGGACAGAAGTATTTTACCCCTCACTGCTTCCCACAATCGCAGAGCAGTCTGAGGACTTCCCTGGTGCACAGACAGCTCTATTCACAATTGTTGTCAGTGGGTTCATCATGTTCTAAGAGGGATGGGGGGTGGGCTGGGGGGACAAACATACATAAGAAAACAAAACAAAAACCTGGTGCCCCGGAGTGTCCCTAAGATTCCTGCGGCCCTTGCCCAACTCCTGGACTTGCACTGGCGCCTCAGCCTGCCCCACGTTCATTCGGGGCGAGCACCTGTTCAGCCTAACCTTCCTTTCCTGCCAGAGCATTTGCCAAGCTCGCTTAAGACAGTCTGGTTTGGAAAACTTCATGAACTTCTCGCTGTTGGGAAGGGAATCGCTTTAAAAAAAAAAAAAAAGTTTGGGGAATTATTCTCATGCACCAGTGACGCAAAACGAGAACTTGGTTCTCAGAAACTAAAGTTAAGCTGGGCGAGATGACACCCCCTAGCTTTGGTTCCACATCATGAAAAGATCGATAAGCTGGCTGTATTCTTTGAAAGAAAAAAAAAAAAAGTTTAAAGAATTGACATGTCCTGGAGGAGATTTTTTTTTTTTACTTATTTTTTTTTCTCCCCTCTTTGGCCCTGGTCCTTTTTGCCTTTAGTTTCAAAACTCTCACTGCACCAGCAGCTAAATTATTCACAATGAGCCATTTCTGTATTGATCGCCAAGTATATTTAGCCCTGGCTCCTGGAATTTCTCCATTACTTACTGGAAAACAGGCAGCCTCACTCATCTCCAAAACCACTTCCCTTCTCCCTCCCCTCCCCTGCTCACCACCACCCTCCCTCCCACCCCCCAGAGAAAAAACTTTCTTTCTTTACGGAACAATCAGATCAGATCCCCGCCTCAGCCACCACACGGCACTTACATTTCAACCTGCTGTCCTGCTACCAAATTCTTTCAAATTAGGATTACATAAGGCGTTAGAGAAAGGCATCCGTAGTAAAGTTTTTTTGTGTGTTTTTTTTAAAGGGGGCTCCGTTCCTTCAGCTCTTTTACAAATGAGTTTCTCTCTTTAAACACGGTCACGTTCAAACACACACACACACACACACACACACACACACACACACACATTAAAAAAAGAAAGAGAGCAACAGCCAGGGAGAAGCGAAAGAAGAAAGTCTGCCCCATCAATGAAATGGTTATTAACCCTCCGAGAAGGCAAGCGAGGAGAAGGAGAGGAAAGGGAGAAGGAGAAGCGAAGAAATGTACATACAAAAGGAACTGTCCCCGGATTAAAAAAGATTCATCACCATTTCCAGCTCTGCCGGGAGGGAGGGCTCAGCTTCTTCTGACCCCTCCACACACAGGAGGTGACAGTGTCGGGCTGAAGATACACACACGGAGGGAGAAAGAAAGAAGTTTTCTCTCTCTCTCTCTCTCTCTCTCTCTCTCTCTCTCTCTCTCTCTCTCTCTCTCTCTCTCTCTCTCTCTCTCTCTCTCTCTCTCGCCCCAGCCCCCTCCCAGCTAAGCCCCCTGCAGAGTTCAAGGCGGCGAGGAGGTAGGAGAGGCACCGCACAGGTGGGTCATTCCGAGCCCAGATCCAGCCAGCAGATCGGCTGATAAACAAAACCAAGAAATGAGAGAGAAGGAACACCCCCCCCTCCTTCTCCTCCTCCTCCTCCTCCTCCTCCTCCCTCCTCCCTCTCCCCGCCCCCTCGCCCCTTGGGGATGGTCTGGTAGGAAAAGCCACTCAGGAATGGCACCACGTACTTTCAGGAAAGAGGAAAGGAGAGAGAGAGAGAGAGAGAGGGAGAGGGAGAGAGGGAGAGAGAGAGAGAGGTCAGCCAGTGCTACAGCAATGCGATTAAGGAGAAGAGAACAAACTTGATCCACCGGTTCTTTAAGAATCGACCAAAAGCGAAGACAAGAAAACTGAAAGAAAAGAAAGAAGGAAAAAAAGGGGTGGGGGTGGGGGTAGAGGGGAGGGACAGTCAGGCAGAACCCAGGAGGAGCCCAGGCCAACTTCCCAAGCCTGCTTTCCTTTTATTTTTGGCGAAGACAGAGAGAAATCCCCAGGCCACCGCTCTCTCTCGCCCATCCTGGGACCCATCAGAGTGACTGCACGGCCGCCTTTCTGCATGTGTCACCCGCTTCTGTGCGTGTGTGCGCGCGCGTGTGTGTGTGTGCGTGTGTGTGTGTGTGAGTGTGTGTGTGCGTGTCTGTGCGCGCGTGTGATTGTTAAATTAAATCCCAGCAGGATCTGCATCATTATTACCACCTTCTCTCTGGACAGCTGCAACCTACATGCCAAGCTGCCCGGGCTTTTCCTGGAATTCAAGTTGACAACACAAAGCAGCACAAGCCCGGTTCATGGCTCTGCTGGCGGACGACGGGCACCCCACAAACAGGTCTGGGGGGGCGGGGGCGCCCCAGACCCCAGGGCCCTCTGCAGACAGGCCGTCCCTCCCGGGAAGGGAAACAACAACAACAAAACCACCTGCATCCCTGTCACTGTCACTGCCGCCCTGGTTCCCAGCAACAAGTCCCCGGCGCCACGGCCTGCAGAGCGGGGCGCCGCCCGCCCCGGCGCGGACACGCGGCCCACCGCGGCCACACGGACATGGGGCCGGCTTTACCTCAGAGGGCGGGCATGCGGGGACACGCGCCCGTCTCCCCGGGTTACTGTCAGCGTGCGCCCGCGCGCCCGCATGTGTGCGTGTGAGTGTGCGTGTGTGTCCGTGCGTGTGCGTGTGTGTATGTGTGAGTGTGAGAGTGAGTGTGAGTGTGAGAGTGAGAGTGTGAATGAGTGTGAGTGTGTGCGGGGGCGGGGGCACTACGGCCGCGGCCCCGGCGCCCGGGGTGCGCCTGCTTTGACTTCCTCCATCTTCGGCGCCGAGCGGGGTGAGCCCGGGACAGCTGGTCAAACCCCGAGAAACCGATCCGCCGCCGCCGCCGGGGCCTCTCCCGCCGCCCGCCGCCCGCCGCCCGCGCCCCGCGCCCCGCGCCCCGCTCCCCGCGCCCCCCGCCCCGCTCCCCGCCCGCCGCGCTCGCGCAGACGCCCGCGGGCGGAGGGCGGGGAGCGGGCGGCGGCGGCGGCCGGGCAGGGGGCGCGGGCCGGCGGGCGGCCGTGTGCGCGCGCGTGCGTGTGCGCGCGTGTGCGCCCCCCGAGAGAGGGCGCGCGTGCGTGGTGCGCCCCCCGAGAGAGGGCGCGCGTGCGTGGTGCGCCCCCCGGGAGAGGGTGCGCGTGCGTGGTGCGCCCCCCCCGGGACAGGGTGCGCGTGCGTGGTGCGCCCCCCGGGACAGGGTGCGCGTGCGTGGTGCGCCCCCCGGGACAGGGTGCGCGTGCGTGGTGCGCCCCCCGGGAGAGGGCGCGCGTGCGTGGTGCGCCCCCCGGGACAGGGTGCGCGTGCGTGGTGCGCCCCCCGGGCGGCCTGCGTGGGGAGCGTGGGAGGGCGCGCGCGCACGCGCGGGAGGCGCCGGGAGCGCGGGCCGCGCTGGCCGCTCGGCGCGCTCGGCAATCGATTACAGGACAAGTGCGGCCGCGGCGCCCGCCCGCCCCGCGCCCCCCGCGCCCCCCGCCCCCCGCGCCCCCCGCGCCGGCCCCGCCGCCCCGCCCCCGGGCCCCGGGGACCCGCCTTTCCGCGAGCCCCGCCGCCCGGACCCTCTCCCTCCCCCGCCCCGCGCCCCCGCACCCCGGCCCGCAAGCCTCACGTCGTCCGCCGGCCGCGGGAAGTTTCCTCCGCGGAGCGGCGATCCCGGCGGCGGGCGCGGGGCCGGGGTCCCCGGGGCGGGGGTCCCCGGGGCGGGGATGGGGTCGCCGGGGCCGGGGTCCCCGGGGCGGGGCTGGAGGGGAAAGTCGGTCTGGGCGCCAGCCCCGCTCCCAGCGGGCCTGACAGCGTCTGCGGCGCCGCCCCGACCGCCGCGGAGGGTCCGGGGCTGCGGGCCCGCCGGCCGGTCTCCATGGTTTGGGGGCAGCTCCACGGGGCGCCGGGTGCAGTGTGTGTGCTGGCTGCCGGTGCTGGCCGCCTGGGCATTTCCCTTTTTTTCCTTTACCACGTTTGCAACAAGAGGGCGTAGGGAACCTCCGCGGGGACGGGGAGAGGGAAAGCACAGGACCTGGAGACGCTGAGCCGAGCCGGCCGGTGGCTTAGGTCTGAGGCCGGAGAGGGCCAGGACCGCCGAGCAGCGGCTCCGACAGTCACAGCCCATCACGGGGCAGAGGAGAGTGGATGCTGAAAGGAGCAGGCACCCAGCTCCTCCTTCCCAGGATCCCAGAGGCAGTTGCTCTCTCTCTCTCTCTCTCTCTCTCTCTCCTCCTCTCTCTCCCCTCCCTCTCTCTCTCTCTCTCTCTCTCCCTCTCTCCCTCCCTCCCTCCCCCCCTCCCCCCCCTCCCCCCCCTCCCCCCCCTCCCTCTCTCTCTCTCTCTCTCTCTCTCTCTCTCTCTCTCTCTTCCCCTGCCTCCCTCCCTCTCTCTCTCTCTCCCCTGCTGAGGATAGAAAAGGACACCTGGAAAATAAAATCGTTAGCTATGAACTGTATCGTAAGCACTCCTCTGTGTGTGAAATTCTGGATAATGTCTTTCCTTTAGGTTCGGTGATGGGGGACTTCGTTCACGTGGCTGCACACTATGTATGGACACCGTATATGACTTGAATACTGCTAACTTTGCATTTTCTAGTGAATTTTCTTTTTAAAAAAGTTTATTAGACAAGTGCAATCAGTAGGCTGGTGACTAAGTTAGGAAACTCTTAATAGTGGGTGCCATCCTGAGAAGTAAGCTCACCCAGGATTCATCGGAGAGCAAATCATTTGTGCTCAGGCTATCCCTGACGGGAAGACAATTCTAAGAGAAATTGCAGTTCCCATGAGTTACACGTTTTGTTTTTCTTAACCTGTCCATTAGGTGAATAAAAGTAATTTTCCTGATGACGTGTTTTAGGAAAGACAACAGAATGAGTCCCACAAATCATTTTAATCATCCTAATAAGAAACAATTAGGTTAACCTTAAGTTATCTTAGAAAAGTGGAGTGTTGGTTTCCAGTATATAAACGGTAACATAACTTCTCTAAATTGTCATAAACCCCTCCTTAAAAAGACTAAGCCTAAGTGTTTAAGTATCTACAAAGCTATGGAGTTCCTCAGGAAAGATGACTTAACACTGAAAATTAAGAGAAAATGTTTGGATCGTTTAAACCACATGTGTCAAACACAAGGCCCGCGGGCCAAATCCATCCCGCCAGGCCTTGCAATGTGGCCCGCACCGCGCTGTCATCACTGCACTCCGCTGCGTTTCCATCACAATGACAGTTTATGACTGTTCAGTAAACCATTCGGCCCGCGATTTAGGCTGGATTTTAGATTTTGGCCCCTTCTCTGATTGAGTTCGACACCCCTAGTTTAAACAGTCGAATGCTTTAATAGGAGAGTGATCAATATGAAGTTATAAGGAATGAACTAAAGTTACTCAAAGTTACCACCGATGATAAAATCCTTGCCCCCTGGCTGATTAGAGCTTAATTTAGCTCCCCGTGAAAGACTATCCTTTCCACAAGTTGCCTTCCTTGGCTTCCTAATCGCCAGAGGCACACTCTCTCCCCCTAGTGGCTAAGCATTCAGACATTTTACCTTTGGTGACTCTGTCTCCCCAGAATTGGGGGTATGGGGTGAATTGGTTCCCAGATTTCAGGGCCATAAGTGATCACTTGTGAGAATTAGACCACCATTTGGGGACACTTGTTCCTCTTGTGTTCCCTTCTAATTTGCAGATCCTGACATTTCCAATTCTTCCCAAAGAAGTCAAGACTGTGTTTACATGCCTTCTATTTTGCCCTCTGCAGCCGAATAGTCCTCAGGGTTCCACTTGTGGGAAGGAACTTTTTATAAACTGTGGTGATACACTTTGTTTATAGTTTTTCTCAACAGCATTTTTATAAAGGTTAGAAAACATAGTTCCACTTTTTTTTTTTTTTTACCCTAACTACTCTGCACACGTTTTTAAAGTGCACCTATCGTTAGCCTGTGCATAAAAATGCACCACCAGGGAAGTACAGTACCATCCTATTTGCCCATTGTGTCCAGTTGGATAATTAACTTTTCACTTTGGGGTTGTGGGGAGGAGGTGGGGAGAAAACATACCCCACCCCCACCCCACTTCCCACCGCTGCTGCTTCCTGCTCCCGCCTGTCCCATTCTGCCGAAACTGTGCCTTCCCAGCACCAACTCACATATCGGCACCTTGCACATTTCCTTCACTATACGATTTGTAATTATTTTATTCACTGTAATGTCATCCTTTTAAGGGCAGGGATTATGTCTATCCTGCTAACAACTGTTTTCTTAGAACTAGCAAAATGTCTGGCCTGAGTTGTTAAGAAACATTTGCTGAATGGATGAATGTCAATCTAATCATATACCCAGTTCCCATGTGTTAAACAGTTTTCAAGGGACAAAATGCAT